CATGAATTGTATTATTTAAGGTCTGAAATTTTCTCAGTCATTACATAAATACATAAATTGTATTATTTAAGATCTGGAATTTTCTCAGTCATTACAGAAACATCTCTTTTGGTATCTTAAAACTGAATTTTGAGAAATAAAATGTTCATTCTAATTCTTAGTAACTAACAACACATATTAATAGTTTTTAAAAAAATTAAGAAAATACTTTAAAACATCTAAAAGTCAAAATAAGTTGAAATGGTTTTAGAAAATATTTTTAAAATTATTAATATCAGTTTAATTAATAAAAAGACAATTTAACCATTTTAAGTCTTAAAATAAGTCTTAAAGTACTAAAAAACGGCTTTTTAAATATTAAAATATTATTTTAATGTTATTAAAAGTACATAATATTATTGAGGTGTTTGGCTATATTGCCATAAGAAATAAAAAAAAAAAAAAAAAAAAATTGAAGTCGTATTCATTTTGCATTTTCATCCTATTTCCACTCAATATTGTTCGCACAGTTAACAGCCACTTACGTAAAGTTATAAATATGTGCTGTGTTTGCGATTAAAAAAAAACACTTTTCTTTAGCAGTAGTGATCAGCTTTCTCATCCCACTAATTTGTGTCGGGAATAGAACAACTTCTTTTCAAGAAGCAAGTCGTTTCCACTTGTCGTTTACCATTGTTTGCAGCAGATCTCAAACACTTCTCATGCTTGTATTCACCAGATTCTGATCTTTTACAAAATTTCCCCCTTTTTGCCATTTGCTTTCTTTGAATCTTCGGCTGTGCAAACTGCAAACAGAAGTGATCAAGAGAAGATCATGGCTGCTGAGTTGGTGGGTGGAGCTCTGCTTTCTTCTTCCCTTCAAGTGTTGTTTGAGAAGATGGCTTCTCCTGAGGTTGTGGACTACTTGACCGGAAAGAAAAGCTCCGGTTTAAGTGTGCTGCTCAGAAAATTGAAGATAAAGCTATACTCTGTCAATGCGGTGCTGGATGATGCGGAGTATAAGCAAATAAGAAACCGCGGAGTGAAGGATTGGCTCGAAGAACTTCAAGAGACAGTCTTTGATGCTGAAGATCTCTTGGCTGAAATTGAAGCTGATGCTCTCCAGCAAAAGATGGAAGCCGAGTCGAGAACCGGCGGCCTAAGCAAGGTGAGTAACTTCTTTTCCTCTATTTACGATTCAACTGATCGGGAGAGGAAGGCCAAGATTGAGGAGATTCTTGAGAGATTGGAGGATATTTCGAAAGAAAAAGACAGAGTGTGCTGGAAAGATCTCATCATGGAGGTCACCTTCAACATCGTTGGTGGAAGAATCCAGTGTCTATGGTAGAGATGATGACAAGGAGGTAATAATCAAGTTGTTGCTGTCAAATGATGAAGGTCTCGGTAAGATAGGCGTGATTCCAATAGTCGGCATGGGCGGGATTGGAAAAACCACTCTTGCCCAGCTAGTTTATAATGATGATGAAGTTAAGAAACATTTTGAACTCAAGGCATGGGTTTGTGTCTCTGAAGAATTCGATATTTCTCGGGTCACAAAAACGGTGCTTCAATCAGTGTCTCCAACTTCTTCTAAGGATGTTACAGACCTAAATTCCCTACAAGTGGAGTTGAAAGAGAAGTTAACGGGACGGAAGTTCTTGATCGTTTTAGATGATGTTTGGAATGAGAGTTATGTTGATTGGGAGGACTTGAGGATTCCTTTCAAAGATGGGGCTCATGGAAGCAAGATTATCGTGACAACAAGAAGCAAAAAGGTTGCTTCTATCATGGGAACAGTTTCGAGCCATATTCTGTAGGAATTATCAAATGAAGCTTGTTGGGAACTCTTTGCAAAGCATGCTTCTGGAGCTGGAGACTTTACTGCCCGTCGGGATCTAGAAAGAAGAAGTGGGTGATGAGTACTTTAATGATTTAGTATCTAGATCATTTTTTCAACCTGCAAGAGACGACAGCCGTTCCTTTTTTTGTATGCATGATCTTATCGTTGATTTGGCTAAACATGTATCAAGAAGATATTGTTTTCTCCTAGATGACAACACCTCAAAGGAAATTGCGATGATCAAGCGAGCACGTCATCTTACGTATGCCCTTAAAACGATGTTTTGCTTATTGTTCAGTAATTCCCAAGGACCGTGAATTTGAAAAGGAGGATTTGATCTTACTATGGATGGCGGAAAATCTTCTGGAGCAGCCAAAGAGAAGTAAGAGAATGGAAGAAGTGGGTGATGAGTACTTTAATGATTTAGTATCTAGATCATTTTTTCAACAACAAAGTAACGACAGCCGTTCCATTTTTGGTATGCATGATCTTTTATTTCAACCAACCACGCAATTTTAAATTTCTTGGTCATGTCTTTGCTTGTTGTTCCCTTGGAAGTTTTGGATGAAAGTGAAATAACACCATGTACTATTCGAATATCTATTTTGTTGAGGGTTGGCTCATAATTCATTAATAGCCTCAAGTGACTGTAATATAACGTCAATCAACAAAATATTGATGGTGTTTAGAATTGATTCCGTTTTTATTTTTCACATTTTTCGAGAAAGAAAAAATGAAAACGTTTTTAAAACGACGTTTAGCATAATAAAGATGAAAAATATAAATGAAAATGATTTTTTAGTTTAGTGTAAAGTGAGAGAGAAATGAAAAATGACTTTTAGTCGTTTTTCATTTTTTATTTTCATTTTCTCATCTCTCGAGCAGAGAGAAAGAGAGAGACATTAATGGATTTTTTTATGCTGAAAATAATCTCTTGATAAAACTACCAAACGCATTTTTAAAAATAATTTATGTCTGAGATTAAAAATATTTTCATTTTTATTTTCATATAAAAAATAAAATTATTTTAGAACGAGTTCTAACGCACCCATTATTACTCAGCCGTTACTAAATTGAGATGTTTTAAAGATATCCATGAATCATGACTATTACACATTCCCATATATATGCTCTATTTGTTTGCAATTACAACACTTCTTATGGTTGAAGTTAAAATGCTTTTGTCAAATATTTCTTCCTCATGCTTGACAAACTGCTCTAGTACTGTTGCATGACTAGTTATGATTAGAGGCTTAGCCAAACAGCAAGTCTAGAATACACAACACAAAAGAGAAAATCGATGAACTTACCCTAAGAATACATGAGTCTGGATTTTTATCTTTTATTCTTGATTAATACTCTTTTGACTAATATAATTATTGGATTAAAAATGATATTAATCAAGAATAAATGGTAAAAATCTAAACTCATGCCCTCAAAATGGTATTTGTCTCTTTTTCCCGTAGCAAAAAGAGAGATATGGTGCAAGGATTAGCTGTTGATAAAAGGAAGTGGAGGAGTGAATAGATTGAGTGAGGGATTCAAATGGCGTGTTTGGAACTCGTTCCAAAATGATTTTATTTTTCGTATGAAAATGAAAATAAAAACATTGTCAATCTCAAGCAGAAATCATTTTTGAAAATGCGTTTGGTAGTTTTATTAAGAGATTGTTTTCAGTATAAAAAAACTCATTAATGTCTCTCTGTCCGCTTGAGAGAGGAGAAAACAAAAATAAAAAATGAAAAATGATTAAAAGTCATTTTTCATTTCTCTCCCATTTTACACTAAACCCAAAAATCGTTTTTATTTCTGTTTTTATCTTTATTGCGCCAAACGCCGTTTTAAAAACGTTTTCATTTTTTCTTTCTCAAAAAACGTGAAAAATAAAAACGGGATCAATTCTAAACACGGTCAAAATCTTTAATCAACGCGACTCTAATTTTAACTATTCCAAAGTTGAAAGGATTGGAAGACGAAATCATTTCCAAATATATTAAGGAAAATGATCTTTCATTTCGTTTCGTTTTCATCAATTAGATTATATGTCTTTCATTCCTTCGTACTTTCTTTCACTCTCATCAAACACAACCATAAAGTTAAGGTCTAATCTTTGAATCCCCACCTCCAAGTTAAATAAAAAGGTTAGTTGAGACGGACCAAGGACGGATATTAAATGGCATAAATTGGATTCACTTCAGAATCAGACTCGGAGTGGCGCCACGAGTGGTTTCCGCCTCTCGAGATCTTGGACTTCTTCCTTACCTTGCGATTTTGTTTGGACTTAACCACATAATATGTCATGGTGCCGAGAACACTGGCCATTGTCACACCCCCAATGACAGTGATAAGAATAGCAGCCCATCTATTACGCCGGCCAACGACTATATAAGACGATGAAATAAATGCCACTGAAGTGCACACAGAGGCCAACCACATCAACTTGTTTATCACCTCCACAACCCTCCTCTCTGCCTTTGTCTCACCGCGAACAAGCGTGATTTGTACTAAAACGACCGCCAACGATGTGAAGAGCGCGACGGCATTGAAGAGGAAAAAAAGCTTGAAAGATGCACAATTCACCATCACCACCATCCCATCATCATCGTCACCTCCAGGCACCGTGAAGATAGCGGCAAAAGCCACCGTTGCAAAGAGCACGGCAACAACTGTGACCGAGTTTGTGGCATTGTTGATTCCCGCCCTGTGGAGCTTGCAGAGCTCCTTGGCAATCCCGGTCACGTTCTTATTTATTTTTCGGGTTTGTTCGAGCTGGATGTGGACGTCTTTCTTGATCTGTGTCACTGTTTTCCTAAGCTCATCCCTTTGTTGGTTTAGTTCATTTGCTTTCACCGCACCGTAGCGAGCCAAGCAGTCCCTTATCTCAGCCGTTTCTTCAGCAAGGGAAAGTCCTTCAGCTATGTCAAGAGCTGTTTTGCGGTCTCTTGTTAGAGCATTTACATTTGTGTCTGGAAGAGATAACAACTCGTTCACTATCTGCAAAAAGAAAAACAGAAATCTTGTCACAAAAACTTGGTAATATTTGTTGCTAAAACAACAATTTCTTGTAGTCCACGGAAAATCATTTATCACAAAAGTTATAGAAGTTATCAACAATGGAGGTACTAATCAAAACAAGAACATAATTGATTATACTTGGTCTAAATTCTAATTGAACTCAAGATAAACACCAAAACTTTATTTGGAGAAATCGAGGTCTCAAGTCAGGCTAGTTCGGTTACTGATTTTATTAGGGGCAACTTGTGTTGGGGAAATCGGGTATTTCCCACTCAAAAACAATTTCACCGTGAACAGTACTTGTGAATAGTACCGTAAAGATGAACAGTACTATACACAGCGGATAAAACCGACATAATAACTATTAAATACTGAAAACAAATAAAAGAGCATCAAAATTGATAACGAAATTCGGCCAAATATTGCATTCGTCTCCGGGCACTGTGGACCACTCTATTCACTAAAGAGAAGAAAGATTACAAATTGAGCAGAAATTAGAAAAACCCACCAATTGGAAATCTAAAGAATTTTTCTACAAATTTACAAAGGGGAGAAGCTCTCAGTTTTTCGGATGCGAAAAAAATTAGAGCATGCCTGTATTTATAGCCTCTGCCTCCCCCTCTTCTACTCGTGAACCAGCTATAAACAGCTAGGTTCACTTACTAAAATCAGCACCGTTTTAGATGCTCTCTCTCTTCTTCTTTTCCCTCTCTGATTTTCACTTTTGGATTTTAATATAAGTGTGCAGCCCATATTTTTGACAATGAGCCAGCGATATTGACTAACAATTTGACCACCTCTTAATGAAGAACAAGACATAAATAATTAGGAATTTAAGAATATATTTATATTCTAAGATTATTTATCTTTTTTTTATTACTATTTATTAGGATTATTTAGGAAAAGTTCAAAATTTTCACTCCAAATTTCATGTCCTCTCTCGAAATTTTGCTTAGCAAGTGTTATATTATTTCCATTTCAAACACAGTTCAATATACTTGATCCAAGTCTTAAAATTGAAATCTCAACAAAAAGTTTCTTTGGCATAACAAGGTCTCAGACTATCTCAATCCATTAAAGGCAGCAGAAGAAAATGGATTTTCTTAGTATATGTGCATGTAATCTTCTTGTTATTTATAACACTTTCGTTCTTAATTTTTTCTTTCTCGACATTTAGTCGTCGAATCTACAAATGAGCTGTTATTAGTCCAGTTCAAGGACCGAACTGTCAAGAAAAATATTTTGGTATGAAAAGGTCGAACCATGAAAAGTTCAGAAGGCACAAGTGCAAGAAACCGAAGAAAAATTCCGCCAATCCGATAATGAAAACCATGCATACCTCTGTCCTCCTTTTCCTGGTGGCAACATGTAAAGCCGTATTCCCAAACTTATCAGGAAGCATAAAAATGGCAGCATCCGCTTGAAGAAGCAGCTTCACCTCTTCACAGCTGACCCCTTTTACGGCCATATGCAAGGCAGTTTGTCCTTTCTTGTCTGTCCTTCTGGCCAATTGTGGGTCCTTCTCAAGCAACATTTTAACACTATACACATGCCCTTGCCTTGAGGCTAAATGTAATGCATTCTTGCCATTGGATCTAGATATCTCTGTCATGCTTGAATCCTTTGACAGCAATTCTCCAACAACTGCTGCATGCCCTTTTGTGGCTGCTGATATAAGAGGAGTTGCGTTTGACTGGCCTATGGTTTGGCTTAGCTCCGGGTCATGCTCCAATAACACCTGCACAATTGCTGCAAAAATGGTTATTATTAAACCTTGAGACTGAATTTTGAGACATAAAATGTTCATTCTATCCTTCTTAGTAACTAACAACAAATTAATAGTTTTTTAAAAGAAAAATTAGAAAAAATACTATAAAACATCTAAAAATCAAAATAATTTAAAAGAGTTTTAGAAAACATTTTTAAAGTTATTAGTTTTTGTTTAATTAAAAAAAAAAGCAATTTAAACATTATAGGTCTTAGAAATATGTTTGGATATTAAAAGAACGGTTCTATAAAAGTGAAAATAGCATTTTAATATTAATAAAGTGAAAAATAAGTTTGAGTATTGAAAGAACGGTTCTACACCGGTTTTATAACAAGATCAGAAAACTCAAAGCGGGACCGTTAGGCCCCGTTCATTTAACCGATTCGAGTTTTGCTACGGTAAAAAATTCTCAGAAATAATCATATCTATATTTTTTGCTACAGTAAAAATTTCTTACATAAATTCACATCTCAACTCAAATTAAAAACTTGAATCAACGAACTATTAGTTTTCAAATCTCAGTTTCTTCAAACCTGTAAATTGATGCAAGAGATATTCAACTCTAACCTTTGAAAGTGTTTGAAGATGCTTGAAGCAGTAGATGCAAAATCTTAAGCTACGGTGATCCTTCTAATCACTCACAATCTTCGTTATCATTTATCACCCTCTAGCCAAATCAAGCTTTGTGACTAAAGTTGCTCTAAATGATCGGTGAACTGCCAAGCCAGTAGAGACTGGCCAATGAGAAAATGACAGAGAAAGTTAGTTATTGTTTAGTTGAAGGCCAGATATGGGAATTCTTATGCAATGGCTATTTTCAGGGGACTGTCAAAGAAGTAATTAGCAAATACATTTGGTCTTTGGGGGGTCAACAATCATTTGTGTAATATGTTACAACTCAAGTTTTAGTTTTCTTGGCAAGTTCTTGAAGTACATGGTGGAAGAGAACTCAAGAACTTCTTCTCATTAGATTGTGTGCTGAATTTTTTATCATTAGTGATCATCATCGTGGTCTCGAATCCCGAGTAGGTAGGAGATTTCGCTCTGAATCTCGTTAAATCTCGTGTGTTGTGTTCTTTAGATTCTTGATTGAGTTTACTGTACCATTGGTTTGTTCATCTTTTCATGAATTGAGTTCTTTGCTTACAATTCTTGTTTTGAGTTTAAATAGACAAAGTTGATAACAATTAAAAAAAAAACATCATAAATTGAGAAACAACAATTAAAAAAAAAGATTGTAAAACACAATAATTCAAAAAAGATAAAAACAATTTTTTATCCCTGATTTTTGGTTCGAAAGTTACATTAGCTTATCATGCGGAATTAAATTGCTCTTCCAAGGAAAAAAAAAATGATTAACCGAGACAAAAAACAAAAAAAAACAAAAAAGCTTATATTATGAAATGGCCCATGGAAAATGATGGCCACCTCCATTAGCTGTGAGAATCTTATTGCTACTGCTTTTCTTATAAAGACAACACGTAATAGACAAAAATAAAATAAAATAAAAAGATAAAAATCATTTTAAAACTCTCTTAATAACATAAAAAGACAACACGTATAACAACACATCTTGTTGGTATCATATATTTTTAATAACATTATAATAATACTTTTACTTTTAAAGAAACATCTCTTTTGGTATCTTAAAACTGAATTTTGAGAAATAAAATGTTCATTCTATCATTCTTAGTAACTAACAACATATTAATAGTTTTTAAAAAAATTAAGAAAATACTTTAAAACATCTAAAAGTCAAAATAAGTTGAAATGGTTTTAGAAAATATTTTTAAAATTATTAATTTCAGTTTAATTAATAAAAAGACAATTTAAACATTTTAAGTCTTAAAATAAGTTTTAAAGTACTAAAAAACGGTTTTTTAGATATTAAAATATTATTTTAATGTTATTAAAAATACATAATATTATTGAGGTGTTTGGCTTTATTGTCGTATTCCTTTTGCATTTTCTTCCTATTTCCACTCAATATTGTTCCCACAGTTAACAGCCACTCAGGTAAAGTTATAAATATGTGCTGTGTTTGCGATTAAAAAAAACACTTTTCTTTAGCAGTAGTGATAAGCTTTCTCATCCCTTTCGCTACTTTAGCCTTTTCTTCCTACTAATTTGTGTCGGGCATAGAACAACTTCTTTTCAAGAAGCAAGTCATTTCCACTTGTCGTTTACCATTGTTTGTAGCAGATCTCAAACACTTCTCACGCTTGTATTCATCAGGTTCGGATATTTTACTATATTTCTCCCATTTTGCCATTTGCTTTCTTTGAATCTTCGGCTGTGCAAACTGCAAACAGAACTGATCAAGAGAAGATCATGGCTGCTGAGTTGGTGGGTGGAGCTCTGCTTTCTTCTTCCCTTCAAGTGTTGTTTGGGAAGATGGCTTCTCCTGAGGTTGTTGACTACTTGACCGGAAAGAAAAGCTCCGGTTTAAGTGTGCTGCTCAGAAAATTGAAGATAAAGCTATCCTCTGTCAATGCGGTGCTGGATGATGCGGAGTATAAGCAAATAAGAAACCGCGGAGTGAAGGATTGGCTCGAAGAACTTCAAGAGACAGTCTTTGATGCTGAAGATCTCTTGGCTGAAATTGAAGCTGATGCTCTCCAGCAAAAGATGGAAGCCGAGTCGAGAACCGGCGGTCTAAGCAAGGTGAGTAACTTCTTTTCCTCTATTTACGATTCAACTGATCGGGAGAGGAAGGCCAAGATTGAGGAGATTCTTGAGAGATTGGAGGATATTTCGAAAGAAAAAGACATACTTGGTCTGAAAGAGTGAATAGTCGGCATGGGCGGGCTCGGAAAAACCACTCTTGCCCAGCTAGTTTATAATGATGATGAAGTTAAGAAACATTTTGAACTCAAGGCATGGGTTTGTGTCTCTGAAGAATTCGATATTTCTCGGGTCACAAAAACGGTGCTTCAATCAGTGTCTCCAACTTCTTCTAAGGATGTTACAGACCTAAATTCCCTACAAGTGGAGTTGAAAGAGAAGTTAACGGGACGGAAGTTCTTGATCGTTTTAGATGATGTTTGGAATGAGAGTTATGTTGATTGGGAGGACTTGAGGATTCCTTTCAAAGATGGGGCTCATGGAAGCAAGATTATCGTGACAACAAGAAGCAAAAAGGTTGCTTCTATCATGGGAACAGTTTCGAGCCATATTCTGAAGGAATTATCAAATGAAGCTTGTTGGGAACTCTTTGCAAAGCATGCTTCTGGAGCTGGAGACTTTACTGCCCGTCGGGATCTAGAAAGAATTGGGAGAGAAAGCGTAAAGAAATGCAAAGGCGTGCCGTTAGCTCTAAAAACACTTGGAGGACTATTGCGCTCTACGTTGGATGTTGGGGAATGGGAAAAAATATTGAAGAGTGATATTTGGGATTTTACAGATGAGCAGAGCAAAATTCTTCCAGCTTTGAGATTGAGTTACCATTATCTCCCTTCTCCCTTAAAACGATGTTTTGCTTATTGTTCAGTAATTCCCAAGGACCGTGAATTTGAAAAGGAGGATTTGATCTTACTATGGATGGCGGAAAATCTTCTGGAGCAGCCAAAGAGAAGTAAGAGAATGGAAGAAGTGGGTGATGAGTACTTTAATGATTTAGTATCTAGATCATTTTTTCAACAACAAAGTAACGACAGCCGTTCCATTTTTGGTATGCATGATCTTATCGTTGATTTGGCTAA